CTTATATTACCCATTATAGTAGTTTACATTTCTTTTCCACGGTCCCAATATAACCCCAATAACCTTTCCCATCTCCCTCTGGTGTGGGTGGCCTCCTTCGAGCACCACTGTCAGTTTTCTTGCAATTGGCCGTCACCCTGCCTCATCAAGACCTGCATCTTGCCGAATTGTCTCTCTTTCCCCCGTGGTGCGGGTGGTTTCCCTTTGTCAATTATGGATTGTCACCCTGCAGCATCAAGACCTGTATTGCGCCTAGGTCACTCAGATCTCACTCCCCCTTTGTGTTGCGCGGGCTTTCTTGGTTGTATAGCTGTCAGGCTGGATATTCACATCTTCCTCCTTCCCCGTTTGGGTTTGCTCCCTCCTATCATATGGATCTGGCGAAGATGGTGGGATGGTACGGTCTAACAGTTGTCAGCATGTTCAAATGGCTGTCCCTTTTGGTGGAAACCGCAGTGATCTGAAGTTGCAGTCGGCATGTGGAAATTCAGCATTGACTTGCTCCTTGGTCATTTACCATCCCTATGATTGCTAGCATGCTTGACATCTGCGACATGAGATCATGTTTACTTTGAGAAGCTTCCATATGGCTTTTGCTGGGATCTGCAAGGAGTGAGCCGCCTTTACCTGCAGAGGAGGAAGCGAAGGAGGAGAGGCGCCGGGGGGACTTTAGAATTTGGAGATGTGCTTCTTTGGGAGGGGGGTGGTAAGGGTGTAAGGCTCCAGATGAGGGTGGCTTGATGTGGGATAGTAGAACGTCAATGTGTTTTGGAGTCATTGATCGGTTATTTGGCTGCGGTGGCCATGGTCTTTCTCAGGGGCATTAATTGCAAGTTTTGAGTTTTGTGTCTGACAGGGGTCTCAGCTTCAGAGACAGCCACGAGTCCAAGTGGATTGTTCTTGCAACAGTCCACCTCACGCTTTACAGCGACCGCTGCTGACAAATGATTTCTTGGTGCTCATGGAGAATAGGATAGCTGGCTGTAGTGGTTGGTCGTTTGGTAAAGGGGGCTGCATCGGATTCCTGACAGGAACAAGGGATTTCCTAACAAGGTTGAGAAGGGGGGGTTACAAGTCCATAGCCCTTTTTATGACCCAGTTAGGAAGTCGTCTCTGCCTTCAAGTGCTACATTCTATCCTTCAAAGCTTGCTGATGGTGCTTTCCCAAGGCAGGTGCGGCGGCCCGAACGTCCGCGTGGACCGGGATGGTACGCCCAGAGCCGCAGACAGGTAGAAGAACTTCCTAGGAAACCCTGAAGGTGCTTTCTGGCTAAGATTACCTTTTGGGGTTCCTATTGCAGGGGGTTAGCTATCTTAAGGAACTACAGATGATCCTGTGGCCGGCAGCTATACGGATCCCTTGCAGCAAGCTTTGGATTCGTTTGGCATAATCACCCGACTTAAAGGGAGCCCTTCCGAAGATAGAGGGTCTTCGGTTTCGAGTTCATGCGTTGGGCGCTTCTGAAAGTTCTTGCGGATGTCTTTATGAGGATAATCTTGGAGTGCTTCATGGGGATCACAGGTTGGGTGCCAGACAGGACGCAAGTGTTGAGAAACGGCCACTTGCTTGAGGGAATGCTACCCTTAAACCCTAAACCTGAACCACATGATTGAGGGAAATAATTCGTATATAATATACCATAATATATACTATAACAAACCATAAAACACTCGAATAAACCACTTGATTGAGGGAATGATGGCGGGACCTTTGGCAGGCAGAGAATGCCGCAGCACTCCAGTGCTTCCCTCAGCCTGGTATGGGCTATAGTCTGAACTCTTTGAGGGGGGGTTATATGGGGGATTATATAGGGGATTATATACTTTAGGGGTTATTCAGGGGCATACTAGGAGTTTAGACTACAGCTCATATGCTTGCACAGCTGTTGCTTCAATGCCTTTATGTCGTAGGTCGTAGGTTGTCAACATATCTGCCATGTATGTCATGTAGAAGCCTGTATCCGTTTGCGTTTGGTAACCTTCTCCTTCAACTTTAACATGGTAGTTTCCTGACATAGACGGACCCCA